CCCCAGCACCCCCCGTGCGGGGTCCCTCGTGCCATCCACACACCCGCCCGGCCGCAGTGAGTTGGTATTTTCTGTATGTCAGCTGCCACATAAATATGTAACCCCTGCTCAGAGAAGAGAGATTAACAGCCCAGAGTCGCTGTGGTGGTGCTGGCAAAGCTGGCACCGTTGAATGGAGCTCTAAAAGATGTATGGGCCGTGCCTTGTAGGCAGAAACTTTACTTTGATTACAAAAGGGAAAAAATATCTGAACATTTGTCATGGGCAAAATAATACTTCATAGCAGCTGCAAAGGTTTCAAGGAGGTGAATCATGATGGAGCCTTTCCCACTCAGAGCTGACATCCATATTCCAGCTGTGCTGCTTTATGGGCGCTCAATAAAACCTATTAAACGATCTCGCACAGCCCCCCCGTGCTCCCCCCCAGCCACAAGCACTTTATCTCTAAATTGCAGGCAGCTTTTTAGTACCTAACCAATTTAGTCTAATTAATACGCAGGACCCCACAGGCAAAATGTTGAATAGACCATTTGTTGCGACACTAAAGCATCATTTAGCGCAGAGACGTGCCAAACAGGACGAGCAGGCGATGGTCCTCAGCCTGCTCGGCCACCGCCGGAGGAGGGACGTGTCCCAGCAGGGCTGTGCCAGCAGGGCTGTGCTGGGGTCCCACTGCATCACCGGTGTGCCTGGGTGCTGCATGTAGAATGGCCCCTTCCCCTTCTCTTTCCACTTCCCCTTCTCCTTCCCCATCCCCTTCCCATCCCCTTACCCTCCCACATGGGCGGCAGAGCTGGCACTGAGCCCTAAGCCATAGGGAGACGGGACCCTCCGGTGCTGCAGTGGGGTCTGCCCGCTGGGGAGGGGGCAGTGGCTCCAGGACATGGGCAGTTTGGCTAATTGGAACTCCAGAGCGTGGCACCTGCGCAAGGTGACAAGGGAGAGCTCCGGGGCAGTGTTCTGGCCGGGCACCGTGGCAGGGCCTGGGGTGTGGGGGCATGCAGTGCCACTTGATCCTCCTCGGGGCTCAGCCGCTGGCACCTGCATCACCTCTGCTTTTGAAGGAGGGCAGAAAGTGGGGAGGGCTCCGTGGGGAAGGTGGTAGGGAAGGGATGGGCAGTGGGAATGATGGGCAGACAGCTTCAGCAGTGAGTGTGAGAACACATGGAGCCTCCCTAAAGCGATGCTCCAGGGGTTGGATGGGGCTTTGAGCAACCTGGTGTAGTGGAGGGTGTCCCTGCCCATGGCAGGGGGGTTGGAACTGGATGGTCTTTGAGGTCCCTTCCAACCCAAACCGTTCTGTGATTCTTTGATAACGCAGCACCCACAGTGGTGGGGGTTCAGCCTGGAGATGGGGGTCACTCCTCACCCGGGCAGACGGGGCGGCAGGAGCTGGTGAGTCACCAGGAGTGATGCTACCCTAAGGGCACGTACGATGGGGCACGGAGAGGGTGTGGAGCCTGTCCTCAGCCACGCTCCTCTGTGTCGCCACAGGGCCGGGCAGCGAGGGGATGCCCATGGGCAGTGGGCAGCGAGAGCCGGGGACGGCAGGCG